TTGTCAGGAATAAATTTTGCAGTCTCAATGTGTAAAACGACTCTCTCTGCATATTGAGAGTCAGTAACTATATTGAGGGGTTCTTTAAAATCCATAAGTACCATGAGGATGGCATACAATTCTGCCTTTTGTACAGAATTGTAAGGGCTTTGGACCACTTTGCTAATTTTTCCTGATTTATATCCTGCCTTACCTGATTTGTTTGCATCAGTGTAGAATGTATGAACTCCAGAAATAGGTGTTTTTCTTACAATGCGTGGAAGAATCCAAATCGTTTTCTTTATGAAGTTGATTCTCTCAGTTTTGGGATAGTTGTTGCTAATTGTTCCCAAAAAGTTACTGCAAGCTCTCTGCCAATATTCGTTATCTTTCCATAAGGAAGAAATTTGCTCATTAGGTAAAGGTACTATAATTTCTGCTGGGTCCCTTCCTAGTAGCTAACGAAGTCTTAATTTACCTTTTATAATCAAGTCAGAGATCTTTTCTATATATGTTTTTAGTTTTTTATTCTGTTTATGTGGTAGGAATATCCATTCTAATATGATATCTTCTCTCTGCATCAAAATCCCTGAAGGATATTCTCTAGATGGTAATACAACCAGAATACAGTCTAGGTTTGGATCCACACGGTCCACATGAGCTTCTAGTATCCTCTTTTCTACCCATTCTAATTCCTTCTCAGCTTCAGCTGATAGTATTCGTGGACTATTCAAGTCCTTATCTCCTTTTAGGGCCATTTTCAAGTTTTTCAAATCATGCCCTTCTACTCCAATTATGGTTTGTAGTTGAGAAATCTCTCCTAGTAATTTTTGAAGATCATTAAGAGTCTGGTAGCGATCTCTTCTGATCTGTACTTTTTGTGGTCTAATTTTCTGTAGACCTATTTTATATCCTAAGTAGTTGATAGACTCTCCTTTTTGTATTATTTCAGGTGCAATTTGTAATCCCCAGCAAGGTAAAACTTCCTTTACTTTCTCGAACATTTTTTCTAGTATTTCTCCTTTAGAGTCAGCTAACAATATATCATCCATGTAATGATAGATTATGGATTGTGGAAAGTGTTTACGGATTATTTCTAACGTTTTTTTTTTTTTTTTTTTTTTTTTTACGAAATATTGGCACAGGGTGGGGCTATTTAGCATTCCCTGTGGAAAAACCTTCCATTGATATCTCTTCACCGGTTGAGAATTATTATAATTAGGTACCGTGAAGGCAAATTTCTCTTTGTCTTGTTCTTGTAAAGGTATAGTGAAGAAGCAATCCTTTAAATCAATAACTATAATAGGCCATTCTTTGGATATCACAGAAGGAAAGGGCATTCCACGCTGTAGAGAGCCCATTGGCTGGATACCTTTGTTGATGGCTCTCAGGTCTGTAAGCATTCTCCATTTACCAGATTTCTTTTTGATCACAAATACAGGAGAATTCCAAGGGCTGGTTGATTCCTCAATATGTCCAGCATTTAGCTGTTCCTGAACCAGGCTTTCTAAAGCTTCTAACTTCTCAGAGGTCATAGGCCATTGTCCTACCCAGACAGGTTCCTCTGTTAGACATTTTAAAGGAAGGGCTTTTGGTTCCTCTGTTTGTTCAGCATTTGTATTTTGTTTTTGTACTGCCTGGATATTTGGTCTCTGTCTTGTATAGTACTTAACAGTATTCTTTCCACAATCATGAGGTCGTCTATGGTCCCTATCTAATACTGGAGGAATGTTAATCTGTGTATTCCATTGCTGTAATAGATCACGACCCCATAAATTTATCACTACATCAGTCACATATGGTCTCAACCTCCCTCTCTGTCCTTCTGGTCCTATACATTCAATCCATCTCATGCTTTGTTTTACCTGAGACAGGGTTCCAATCCCTAAGAATTGAACATTTACCTCATGCAGGGGCCATCTTTGAGGCCAAGATTTATTAGATATGATAATTACATCAGCCCCAGTGTCCAGGATACCCTCAAACATTCTATTATTCATCTTAACTATCAATCTAGGCCTATTTCTATTTATAGCGGTTTGCCAAAATATACGTTTTTTATTTCCTTCTGTCATGTTTGATTCAACTTCCTGTCACTAGTTTGTCATCCAGAGCAGTATGAGTTTTTAAAATAGGCACAGAATTTTCTAATTGTCCTGTGGGAGATTGTCTTCCACTGTGACTGGGAATGATCGAACTACCTGTGACGTGGGGGCCTTCGAGAGGCCCCCCAAGGAGTTTCCCTATGGTAAAGGCTTTCCTTGCTTGTCTCTGGTCGATCTACACTCATTTGTCCAGTGTCTGCCTTTGCCACACCTTCTACATAACCCAGGAGGCTGAGGCCTTCCAGAAACAATGTTCTATCTGCTAGCTTGCCATTATCCTCAGACATGGAAGAGATTCTGTCATCTAGTCTTTCTAGTAGCTTCCTCCAACCAGGAACGAGCGGTTTCTGCTAGTTTGTTAATGCATTGCATTGTTTTTGTTCTGGTTATTGAGGTATCTGACATGACACAAATTATACCTGTCAGCTCGCCAACGCCATCTTCAATATTCTGAACCTTTCTTTCTATACTTTCTATGCTTTGAATTCTATCATTTTCAATGTTTTGAATCCTTGTATCTATGCTTTGAATTCTATCATTTTTAATGTTTCGAATCTTTGTCTCTGTGCTTTGAATTCTATCATTTTCAATATTTAGAATCCTTGTTACTAAGTCTCCTATGGTTTGTACACGTTCCTTATTGTTTGCTCTAATCTCAAACCATTTCTTTAAGAATATCATGTTAATGAAAAAACCCATTGCTATTACAAAATAAAAGTATATATTGGTCCAGTCATAAGTTTCTTCTGCTAAAATCCCTTCTAAATATGAAGTAAAATAATTCCTAAAGTTCTGCATAGTAAAATTATCTGCCATAGTTATGGAACAATTTATCTCAGATTTTATATCAGCTTAAATTGCAAAGGATTTTACAATTACCTTAGGTGTAATTCTGCTGTCCTGGAACTTTGATGCTTTTAGTTGTATATCTCAGCTTGGGGTGGTAGCTGCGACGATATCACCGGCCTGGAGGTGTGTCACCAAATAGCGCCTAGCCGCCGAGGCTCTTCTGATCCTGGTTCTGCCTAGAAGTGTGCTGCCAAATATTGTCCAGCACCAGACAATCCTTCTGATTCCGGTCCCTGTAGAATAGCTCTTAACAAACTATGGCAAGAAGAATTTTGTTAAACGGGGACTTTTGGAGTTACTTGGAACACAAGACGAAACGCGTGAAAGCCAAGTGCCCAAGGGCGGGTGCCACCGAGCGGCTCTGCGCAAATGCAAAGTCCCGTGCGGAAATGGGCAAAAAATGTTAAGCAGTGAGTGCCTTCAGGTCTGCTTTAGCTGCAAAGATCTCCTTTGCTGTAAGGAAGAGGCAAATGTCCCAAAGCTGTGGTGAGTCCACCTGGTTAAACCCTGCCCTTTGGGGAAAGTGGGGGAGGGGGTGCGGCGTCTGCCGCCTGGGGGCGAAACCCAGGTAAATCCACTTCTGACACCAGATATCGCGGTAAATAAGGATCAGGATAAACAAATAGGCCGAATAGATGTTTATTCAGGGAGAAATAACTTACAACCTAGACAGATGAACACCAGGAACTTCAACCCGATCCTCTCCTGTCCGAGTCACGCCAGAAAGAGAGCGCCTTTCCTGGCCCCCTCCGACCTCCTTTCACAGGACACTCCGCCCATGGCTCCCCCCCCCCAATAGGCGTGGTCAGTGCCAAAGAACTATCTCACTACACTCCACCCTTTTTCTCCTTCTGTCTCCCAGGTTCCCTGTCTGGCCTGGTCTAGGTTCTGATTACTGGACTATCACTATGGCCAAAATCTTTGTCAGCTCCTGGTTTTGCTTTTTATCTCTTGTCCTCCCTGTCTTCCTGTAACTTTCGCAATCTTTCTTCCTTCTCCTCTGGAGTTTCCCTCTTGTTAAAAATCTTTTCTGCTTCCTTTACTAGGTCTTGAAGGGGTTATCTCTGCAACCACTCAAGGCATTGTAGTTTTGTACGTATGCCAGGTGCCTACTTTCCAATGAATGACATGATTACTTCAGCCTCCCTATCTGGGGCCTGCGGGTCAAAAGGGGTGTACAACCTGTAGGCCTCCATCAGGCATTCTAAGAAGCTTGCTGGGGGTTTCTTCCGAACCTTGAACTACCCCATGCACCTTAGGAAAATTTGTGGGGCATCTCCTTGCCCCTTTCAGACCCGCCAACAGAGTCCGGCGATAGAGACAGTGACGCTCCCTACTGACTGCCGTGTTGATGTCCCAATGTTCGGTGTGGTTAAGGGAAAGACTTCCTCTATTTCATTGGGGAGTTGGGTTGGCATGCCATCCATTCCCTGCACATATTTTCTGGCTTCTAGGAGGACTCGTTTTGTCTCTCCTCAGTTGTGAGGAGCGTCTGTAAGAGTTGCAGGCAATCATCCCCTGTGGGTTGGTGGGTGATGAGGATGGATTCAATAAGACCTGTCAAGGTTTGGGGGTCCTGCGAGAAGGAGGAACTATGGGTTTTCCAATTATAAAGATCTGCAGAGGAGAAGGGCCAGTATTGATAGAACCCTCCCCATCAAACGAAGAGGAAAGGCCTGGGAGACACCAGAGCTGTCAGGTTCTTCCAGCATTCTATCTCTGCAGGGTCGTAGTCGGGTGGATGGTGGTGATGGGTCTAGAGGGCCTCTGGTGGCCAGCATTGGTGGAGCTTAGGGATGGGGATTCCTGGTCTGGTGAAGATGCTGGGGATTGGGGTCCTGCTGGCTGGAGATTAGGGTAAGGGGGAGGAGGTTCTAGATGGAGGAGATCCTGTTGCACATCTGACAGGATGAGGGGAGCTTTGGGGCTATGATCAGGATTTCAGGGCTCTGTCAATGGGAACAGAGAAGAGGTCAAAAGAGGGGCTGAGGGTGTGGGAATGAGTTGGACATGGGAAGGCAGGGGTTCTGGGAGGGGGCCTGGAGGAGGTGAGATGAAGGGCTTGACCTAAGGAGGAGGATTACTGCTCAGGCTTTCCCAGGTGAGAATATAGGGAGCCTGGTCAGGGTGACCCAGTGATCCTGGACGGAGAATGCGGGCTTTGTCCTGCAAGATAGTTGAAAGGTTAAAGGTGCCATCCTTCGGCCAGCCCACAGGGAAAGCAGGCCATTCCAAGGAACAGAATATACGCCATTTCTTCTTCTGGACATCCATCACTTCATTGTGGGCCCGGCCTGAGACCTCTTGCCAGTGACCTAAAGTCAGACTTAGGGGGGTAGTTAGTTAGTTTTTGACCCATGGGGATAATAGAAACAGACACAAACAGTAGGGACAGAAGGACACAACAAAAAGAACAATCTGAGAAACAGGACACATCCGCATGATAGACAAACAGTGCCCAAACCAAAGTTACAAAGCAGGAGGGAAGCGGAGTCCGGAGAAGCAAGACTTCGTTTCCTCCCCTCCTCAAAACAACCCGGGACTTTCATCCAGGGTGGGACCAGTGGTCTCAGGGGTCGAACAGATCTCCAAAATGTAAGACCCTCAGAATAAGGAGTCTCCCAGTTTGGTCGGTAACCCCAAGAACTCAGCGTTCCATGCAGTTGCTGCAACATGCAAGTGGCTTTAATGAACAGGAAACGTTTGCACAAACAGGATGCCTCTGCACGCAGGCTAGAGTGAAGCGCTCTTCCCCAGTCACAGTTGTCTTTAACCCACAAGCTTAGGGAGGGGGTGTGACCCTTTGAGGCCAGATGGTCTCGCTATTAGGCTCAACAGACTTTAGGCCTCAGTGTGTGGTAATTAATCTTGTCTGGGCAAACTGGAGGTACAGTTATCTCTTTGTTTCTTAAGGACCCTTTTCACCACCTGCTGATTCACAAGAAAGGAGGGGCAGTGTAAATTTGTATTTTGTTATCTCCGGGCCTTGTGAGGGGAAGTTAGCAAATTCCAAGGAACTGATATTGGTCTGCGTTAGATTTCCAGGTCAGTCTGTCCTTCATTTCATGTATGTGTTTGTGTGTGTCTGTGTGGGGTTCCTTAACTTTCCTTTTTGTCTTTCAGGTTCTGTGTACATGAACAGAAGGAGAAGAACACTGGGAAGGACCCTCTCTCTTTCCCAATCTGTCTATAACACTATCACTCCCCCTCCATCAATTTCTGACTCCTTTTCCATCTCCCTGTCTCTCACTTCTCTCGCCCATGTTGCACATCAAATCAGAGGGGCAGGAGCTGCAGCCTCCTGAGTTGGAACACATCTGAAGTTCTTTATTATCATCTGTGTAAGTTGTTCCCCAATAATATACTCATTTATAATTTGTCTTGGGTCTAGTGAACTTATTAGCACACCATCTCCACATGAATCAATTTTATTTATTAAGACTAAAGTCAAGTATGATGTCTAACATGTTCACAAAATAATTTATGTGATGTGGGTTTTCTCTTCCATGATTTCTTCCCTATTACCTGATATCAAGATAATAAAAATGAATTTAAAATATGTACAAAGTTAGAGTTATGGTTGAACAAAATAATGAAAGTTCATTGTCATGACCTATGTCAGTTTTCTGAGAACATACTGTAGTTCTTACTACAGGAATTCTCAAGAAAATCAAGCATGAAGGATTGTTCTTAGAAAAACAATCCATCTGAATGAGGTTTTTATGTAAATAAAGAGAAGGGTTATGATGAAACAGAGACACTGTAATGCTTCAACCAATTGTTCACACTTGTCAGATATTTTTCTCTCCAGAACCCTATGTATTTCAATATGTGTTGGCTGAAGATGGTACCACATCCTTTTGAGGAAGATTTCTTTCCATAAGAGTTTTCTTAGGCCCACAAAGATCATTGTGATAAGCAAAATTCACAACATACTCCAAATGTTACATGTATAGGGATTCTATGCACTGTGATTTTTTGTGATTATAAAGACTAATGATACATAGAGAGTCTTTACCACATGGGATACATTCAGTGTCATTCAAGTATACATTCTTTTGTGATTTGAGAGAGTGCGGGTATGTGTAAAGTCTTTACCACATTCATGGCATTTCAGAATTTACTCTCCAGTATGTGTTCTTACATGACTTTCATGTACATCATGTGTTGTAAAAGCTTTACTACATTGATTACATTCTTAACATCTCTCTCCTGTATGTGTTGGTTTATGACATACCAGATGGCTGTGTTGTGAAAAAGGTTTTCCACAATGATTACATCCATAAGGTTTCTTTCCAGTATGTATTGTATGATGAGATTAGAGAGTACTGATATGTGAAAACGCTCTACCACATTGATTACAAACATAGGGTTTCTCTCCAGTATGTATTCTATTAGGATATTAGAGAGTACTGGCCTCTAAAAACGCTCTACCATATTGATTACATACATATGGTTTCTCTCCAGTATGTGTTCTTATATGAATTTTAAGCTGATCATTTCTTACAAATGCTTTACCACATTGATTACATTCATAGGGTTTCTCTCCAGTATGTGTTCTTATATGACTTTTAAGATGACCATTCCTTGCAAATGCTTTACCACATTGATTACATTCATAGGGTTTCTCACCAGTATGTGTTCTATGATGACACTGGAGATTACTGACATGAGAAAATGCTCTACCACATTGATTACATACATAGGGTTTCTCTCCAGTATGTGTTCTATCATGATATCGGAGAGTACTGGCATCTGAAAACGCTCTACCACATTGATTACATAAATAGGGTTTCTCTCCAGTATGTGTTCTTATATGACTTTTAAGTTGAGCATTTCTTGTAAATGCTTTATCACACTGATTACATCCATAGGGTTTCTCTCCTGCATGTGTTCTACGATGAGATTGGAGATTACTGACTTGTGAAAATGCTCTACCACATTGATTACATACATAAGGTTTTTCTCCAGTATGTGTTCTTTTATGAATTAAGAGACACCAGTGTTGTGAAAAAGCTTTACCACATTCACGACATTCATAGGGTTTCTCTTCAGTATGAGTTCTTTTATGTTTTTTCAGATGATTGAATAGTGAATAGACTTTACCACATTGATTATATTGATTATAGTCTTGTGATTTCTCTCCAGTATGTGTTCTAATATGTCTTTTAAATACAGTATGTCTTGCAAACATTTTCCCACATTGACTACATTCATAGGTTTTCTCGATCGTGTGTGTTCTTTCATGGAGTTGGCGGAAACTGTGACATGCAAAGACTTCACCGTACTGAAGACTTCCATATGGTTTCTCTCCAGTATGAATTTTTTCAAGCCTTTGAAGATGACTGTAACATACAAATTTTTTCACACATTCATTGTGTATATTCACAGGATGTGCTCCCTTATGGCTTCTTTCATTCCTGCCAAGATAGTTAGCATATGTAAAACTACCACATGCATGATACTAAAGAAATTTAGTACATGTATAATATAAATTTATAATTTGGCCTAATTATAAACAAGAATCAGATCTTGAGTTTTAAATTCATAATGATTCCCTCATGAGGCATTATGTTGTTTCCACTGAAGATACCTGTGATCCAGAGTAAGAGCTTTTATTTCGTGGCCCACATTTACAGCATCTACTTAGATGACTTTTCCCACATAATTGAAAAGAACTGGACCAACTCAGAGACTTGCTATATTTATTGAACTTATCAGTTTTTCATTCATATAAACCATACTACATTGTCCAAATATACCAGTAGAAATATAAGCATTCACACATCCCAATTGTCATAGTGATTTACTGCAGTGTGTTTGTTATCTTTCAGATGATGCTGGAATAATGATAAATTTTAAAGTTTTTTCACACTCAACAAATATCGTCAATGGGGACTACTAAATATATTTCATTTCTTCCCACTATCCTAAGAGAGGTACATTGCCCCTTTCCATTTTCTAATTTCACATGGCTTGTATTTAGATAACATATATTCTTTTTCTTTTTCTATGTTTTCTGATACAAAATAGTTCTGTGTTGATTGTCTAGCCTGGAACTCATTTTGTAGATTGGGCTCATCACAAACTTAAGGATCTACCTTGCTCTTCATCATGAATGCTGGCAATAAAGGCATCAGCAACAACTGCCTGACTCAACATATGATATGCTTAGCATTCACACACTTTGACTTTCTTTTCCTCACAGACATGTGTTATAGGGATTAAAATTTCTCCAGAATAACATTCTTGACACTCATAAACTGACCCTTTCAATATCCATAGCAAAGTCACAGATATATGACTGATGCCTGCTTAACTATAGACTTTTTTCTTAGAAGGTCTTGAAGATATACTTATCACCTATGCAAAATGTATACTGTTTAAAATATCTGAATAGTATGAAACTAAACAGACTGTTATATCTACAGCATAGATCTACAAGTAGTATAATTCAAAGGGTGGTATCACTTAAGGCATTGTATCCTCCCCATTTTACATGAATGCCTTGCAAACACAGAAGAGCTACCTTTCACTGAGGTACATGGTTTTGTGAGAAAATTATACTTTAAGCTGCACTTATTATCACTGTTGCCCTTCTTAACATTTTTAGTTTTTTTAAGTGTCACTCTTCAATAATATTTCCAGGATACATTAAATATTTTCAGAGTCATATATGCATAAATTGCACATGTAAATTTACCTTCTATGTCTTCTAGAAGTTTGACAGTGATCTTCCATATTATGGTCATCCCAAAAGTGGCCTGAAATAATAGAAAATATATGATGTTTTATTTTAAATTATACAAACTTTAAGGTAATAACTTCAATGAACCTTAGAACCATGCTTCATTCATCCAAGTTTCCCTTTTCACAATCAAAATTACAGAATACTATCAATAACCAAGAAACATTTGGTCCTTTAATTGAAACATGAAGGAAAATTCAGTCTTACCTATAGCAGTGAGGTTCCTGTAGGTTTCCAGCATCACATCTGTGTAGAGACATTTCTGAGAAGGATTTAGCAAAGCCCACTCTTCCTGGGTGAAGTGGATGTGCACATCGTCATAGGTCACTGTACCCTACAATAACACATACATGTGTGAAAAAGATGAATAATACATTGTACATATAAACTTCTTTGACAATATAGTCATATAATTCTGGTGATACCCTTGCTTGTTTTATACATGGACATTATAATGTGTTCACTCAGTCACATTTGAAGTTAACTCAATAATAGTTCCACATGCACCACTTCCTGGACTTTTAAGTAGCATATAGCCCTGAGAAAGAAATCCCAATAAACTGACATAAAGGGAGAGGCAAACTACCAGAACAACACTACAGACCACATCAAATATAAATTGTACGATAGGCACAGACTATCAAAGAAATACCCCAGGCCCTGGAACCAACATCTGTCTGTGTTAGATTCTCATTGCTGATAAGAGACACCCTGGACCAGGGAAACACTTTCAAAGAAAACATTTAAGTGAGGTGTCACACTTAAAATTTCAGAGGTTCAGTTAACCATCATTATGTCAGGGGGCATATCAGCATGCTGGCTGTTGTGGTCCTCGTGGTTAGAGTCCTTACAGCATGACTCAGAGGCAACAACGAGATGTCTGACACACTAGGCAAAATTCTGAGAATAAGAAAACTCATGCCTGATACTACAGTGATGTGCTTCCTCTAACAGGTAAAGACCACTCCAACAAAGCCATACCACATCTACTATCATTAGTGGGAACTCACAGACATGGCATCTAACTAGAACCTCTGAGTATGGGTGACGCTTATGTGACTTGATCTGTTAGGAGGCCCCTGGCAGTGAAACCAGGGCCCATCCCAGTTGCTTGGACTGTGGTTTTAGAGCCCACACCCTATACTGGGATACCTTGCTCAGTCTTGATAAACGATAGATTGGCTTGTTCCTTCCTCAGCTTTGTATGCCAGATTTTCATAACTCCTGAAAGAGGGCCTCATCCCCTCTGACTGTTGAAATGGAGATGTTATGGGGGAGAGGTTGGGGGAGAAAATGGGGAGGCAGGGAAACTGGGGTTGGTATGTAAAATGAAAATAAAAATTTTAAAAGAAATTGAAAAAGAAAGTATGTATTTTAGAATCATGGACTCAAAGTGACTGGTTTTGCTATCATTGTTGTTTCAGTAACAAGGATTTTGAAAACAAGGCCATTCCTAATTTGTTGTATATTCAGATTCTGTGTGAGAGTGGTTTCCCTTGTGTTCTTGTGTTATAGCATAGTAGAGAATTTCACATACCCTGTATCTGGAGTGGAGGTTGTTATGAGCATAGAAAGTTGGGTGTTGGGATATGAACTCAGGTCATCCCACAGTAGAATATGTGCTCAAGCACTGGCCAAGACCCATAGTACTTATTAGTCAAAACAGGAAAAGTGCTTCCCAGGTTGAAAACAAGAATAAAAGAGAGTACATGAACAGAAAAATAAACAAATAATCATTGAGAACTTGGTGCATTTGTATGCATATTCTGGATAAGATAAATTTTCAAAAAGCATAGCTTAGAATGCAAAGAAAATTCCCAACCTCTTGTAACAGGATATCTGATTCCAAAGATTTATGCAAATGGGAATCAGTAAGAATCTCAAGAGTATAATGAAATAAATAGAACATATGTTGACACAGCATGACTTCTATCACTAAAATGAACATGCAGTAATTGAGAGGTATTCAATATTTGTGAAGGAACAAAGGGGAAAAAGAGAAAAAGAACAAACAAAGGTAAATATAATCAACTTTTTGTCAAAAGACCAAGGGAAACTCATCCAGATAAACTGAGATCTTGATCAATGTTACTCAGCGTGTCATGATTCCATGTGTTCAGAACTTAAATAAACAGTCTCTAACAAATTTAACTCATAAGGATGCTTAAACTCTTCTGCTTCTGACACTCCAACTACAGATATTTGTACCAGAGACACCCCATAGTTTAGAGGTCTCTATACAAATGGGGTAATCTCCTGCTATGTATCAGAGAATTATATTTAACCTTAATGAACAGTGTTAAAAATTAATGAGTTCTGTTTATTAAATATCTCTGTAAAAATAACTGGTATCCACAAATAAGGTGTTTAAGAAACTTGGTCCAAAAAGCCGCAATAAGGTCATACAATCACTTAGTTTAAGAAGGGGTAATCAAGAGGACAAAGGGACATTGCCATGGAAACCAACAGGATGGAATCAAGGCCATCTGTGTCATGATGAGAGAGACTATCCCCATAACCTTTTTCTGAAATGCTGGAATTGCAACTGTTCTAGAATTTGTCTTAATAATGAGAAAATAACTCCACTGATTTAAGAGATAAATAAAGAAAAATCTCTGTAATGATAGATTGTGTTCATTTCCAGCTAATGCTCAAAGAGGAAGGAACCTACAAGAGATTTTTTTGTTATTGTTTTTTGTGTTTATTTTTTTTTTTTTTTTTTGAGACAGAGTTTCCCTGTGCAATAGCCCTAGTTGTCCCTGTAATATCTCTGTACATGTTCCTTGAACTCACAGCGATCTGCTTGTATGTGGTCCAGAGTGCTGGGATTAAAGGTTTGTACCACCACCACCACCTGGCTCCTGAAAAATTTTTTGCATTCCACATATGTTGCCATCTTTATGTATTTTTCAGGGTCAGACTACAGTTTATTTTTGAGGAATTTCAATTATGATAAGAAACTGCAACTTAGGTCAGTAAGGCAACATAAGACTTCAACAAAAAAAGATAGTAGCATAATTATTTCATAATACATGAGTAATAAGAAACAGCAGGTCACATTTTACTGACAGGTCCTGAGGCAGATGTGCCTGAAGGTGAGAAAGATAAGTAAAGAACAGATGAAAGCTCAGACAGGGAGATTTTGCTGAAGCTATGTCTTACTCTAAGTAAGCTTCTTATGAGGAATATTGTCTTGTTTATTACTTCCATGGGGAAAAGAAAGAGAGCAGGGACTTCTAGGAAGTCAGCAGCAGTTAACATTCAATGAGAAAAACTCAGAAGAAGGCTATACAAACATTGCAGTACAAGGGGAACACAGGTAATCCAAAGAACATTACTGAGTAAGCCCACTGTGTCCATGGGACCAGTATTCCCAGATCCATGTGGTACAAAGTGTTGGGTTCTCAGGATCTGAAGCAAAACCTCCTCATAGGACCTAGACCCACACAATTGCATTATCTTCAAAGATTCTTCCTTGTTTCAAAGGATGAGGTCTACATTATTCTCAATAGCTCAAAGCTTGATGGAAAACACCTAAGGCTAGACCCCCCAACCCCAGGCTGTTATTTTTTCTACTGAGCACTTTCCATGGTTTCAGAAGGAGCTATGTTATTTCTCCATAAGGGAGGATCTAAAAAAAAAAAAAAAATCTTGCATGCTCAGTCCTGCCCTCAACACATCACTGTTTTCCTTTTCAAACTGTTGTCACCCGGGCTAATCTTGCCCATATGACAGAGCCATGGTTTTCTCTAGAAGAAAACTGGATGTTTATGACACACCAGGACCTTATGTTTATTATGACCTAGTGTTGTACCCTTGAACAGCTTGTAAAATCCCTACTCCATGGTATGGAGATGGGCATTAGGGCTGGTTGTAAATCTGTTGTTAATCCATTGCCATGGTTTGGAGCCAAATGTCTGAACTAACCTGGGAAAAGGGAAACAAATGTATATTTTAGCATACTAATCTCTAACATAACTAGATAGCATACTACTCCTTTTATTTTTTTTGATGTCTTTATGTTTTGTTTTGTTATTTTTTTTGGGGGGGGCAGCACTCAATCAGCTAAATTCTATTTTGAGAATCTTACTATCCACCAAGAATTGGTAAATCTTTATATCAACAATACCATTCTTTCATATAACATCTCTGGTGTAGTGTGGTCCAACAAAAGAATGCCATTCATACATGACTTTCTTGGCACTTGCTTTAACCTAGCACTTAGGAGGCAGAGAAGATATATGTGAGATTGGGGATAGATGGTCATATATATCATATGAATTAAAAAGAGAAGAATGCTATTTAGAACATGCAGAATATTAACTCCAAATATGGATACTCCCTTAGCCTACAGACAAGGGGGAGGGCCTGAGCCAAACTCCAAATGTTGATTATCCCTCCTAAAGACCTCAGCCTCCCAGTGGAATGTATGGGGGATGGGGAGGTTGCTGGGGAAATAGGATGGGAGGGAGAGGGAACTGGGATGGATATGTAAAATAAGATCATTTTATTTTCTATTTTTTTAACAACAGAAAAAAAGGTATTTAAAAAAAAAAAAAAAAAAAAAAAAAAAAAAGATAATAAACCCACTTGGATCTGACCCCTAAACCTCTGGAAGGCACTGGACTAACTGAACCTCTCCTTTGGTAAATACCCATCCCAGTGCACCAAAACCATAATGGAGCTGACTACAAAGAAATTCATTCACAATGCTACCTGATTGAAATCCTTTCCTCTGAAGTAGCCCACATGGTGAAGTAAAAATAAGCCACACCCTGCATGTGGCAGCACATTCCAGCCCAGCCTCCTCCTGCAGTGCCTGCCAAACAGACTTTCATTCCCATCCCACCCTCCTCACCCCCTTGCTTACCATGCTGCTTACCATGCTACATGATCCCCTCACAACTACCCACAGCAAAACTCAAAGAGCAGCAATCAATGCTCTGCTGCCTGTTCTGATATAAAGCCATGCCTGCTGCATGGCTCCTGGAAGTCTCATTCCTGACTTGAGACAGGAGGGTTGGCTCAATGCCCCTGATTGGCTAGTGAGGTTTGCATGACAAAGAGTGCTTCCTCAAGGGTTAGAGTGGGTTTAAAGGCACAGCAAGCCCCACACTTCCTTTGGCCCTGGATTCTACTCCAGATCTAGACATTTCAGAGAAAGGTCTGCACAAACAGTAACCTATTTGTGTTTTTTTTGGGTCTTTTTGAGAAAGAGTTTCCCTTTGTGTTTCCTGCTGTCTTGGAACTTTTTAGTAAACTACGCTGGTCAATTCCTTCCTAAATATTAGTATTAATCTTGTTGATGTTTTCTCATAGATTTTTCTCATTCAT